AGCAGAAATTCCGGAACAGTCAGCTATTCCAGAAACCATGGAGAAAGCAGTAGAAGTCTAAAGACACTCTGGAGAAGCTGAGAAGGAAACTCAGATGGCAGAAGTGGAGGTCTCTCAAACTCCAATAGCCATCTTTGAAGAACCAAATGAAGCTGAAGATAGTGACTCCCTCTCCAGATACATATCAAATTTTGCACTTGATGAAGCTGAAGGAGAATCTGAGAGGACACTAAAGGTCACTGATGAAGAAGATGTACAAGAAGATGCTGAATCTCTTCCTTTGCAACTCTTCCAAAGGACATCATCTTGTTGGAACACGGGTTTACGCCTTCGTCGTACTAAACTGTGTTCGTTTATGACAGGTTTTGATAATGCCAAATCGCCGCGACATATCGAAGATAAAGTGAGCAAAACTAAGGCGAAGGAACATGGAATGATGACTTGAGAACCAAGAACCCAGAATCAAGAACGAAGAACTAGAATTGTATTCAGTCGGTCTTAATGTGATCAAGACCGGCACAAAATTCCAAATCTTGGCTCTCTAGGCTTAATTCATAAAAATCTCTTTTACATATTCAAAAATACTTTTCTTAAAGTTTAAACTTGGGTCAAAACACTTGGAGTTCGCCCAAGCCAAAAACCAAGCCATTCGGCGTTTGGCTTTCAGAAACCGGCGTTCGGCTCTCGGTTTTCGGCATCGGTTTTTGGCGTCCGAACCAACCAAGTGGTTTTTAACTTTTTATGACTGGTTTTTACTTCTGGGAATATTTAAATAGTTCTCCAACAAAAACGCCTCAAAAACCACCTTCCGTTTTTGATCGTTTAGTGAAAACCATGCGAAACGGCACGAACTTGGCTAGCCGTGGTTTTCAACGAAATGACGTGGTTTTTAAGATGTTTTACTTGATTTCTTAGCAAATTGCAATAAACAAATGTTTTCTAAACTTGGTTTTTATTTTGGAGAACTTGCGTTTTTGACATCGGCTAACGGCGTGACTAAACCAACCATGGTCTGGCTAAACCAAGCCCAACAGCGATGTTGGGATAATCAACAGCGCTGTCTGGCCTGGGTAACCAAAAACATGGTTTGGCGTTAAGTCTTCCAACAGCGATGTTGGACTTTAGACATCGCTGTTGAGCCAAGGTTGGATTTCCAGAGACTTCTGGAACAGCGATGTAGGCTCCCCTACAGCGCTGTCCAACCTAAGCCTAAAATACAGTGCATTGGCACAAAGTTTTTAGACAGCGATGTTGACCCAGCAACAGCGCTGTCAGGCCAAACGTCCATCTTCAAGAGTCAGACCTAAACAGCGATGTTCAAGCTATAGACATCGATGTAGGGACCTGACCGTTGGAAGGAATTTAAGGCTAAAACTTTCCTTGTTTGGAAGTCAACAGCCAAAACAGCGATGTAGGGTTTTTTGGACATCGCTGTTGGCATGACCGTTGCTTCCCAATTTTTAAAAAACCAAGCCTAGAACAGCGATGTCCAGGCCTAGGACAGCGCTGTCTAGGTGATTTTCAGCAGATCCAATTTTAATCAAATCCCACAAATTGTGCCAATCACCCCTTAAATGTTTTGGTCCGTTGGAGCCTACTTTTCCACTATAAAATGGGGTGTTTGGGTCTGTTTTACATATCACATTACTTCACAACTTCTACTCTTTCATTGCAAATCATCCTTCAATTTTTCATAGCTTTTGAGAGCCATTTTTGTGAAGCTTGTGTTGTGTTCTTGAGCGTTCTTAGTTTACTCATTATTCACTCTTAAAGAGAGTATTGTTCTTGAGTGTTTTTAGTGTTCTTAGACACTTGACAAGAGAAAGTATTTCTCTTGTTGCTCGAAGGAAGGGCTGTTTCCTTCGAAGGTTCGTTGAGGTTCGTGTGACTCGAATTCTCAAGTTGTACGGGTTTGTTAAGCACCGTTAAGCTTAACGAGATAGTAGTGTAGCTCGAGAGAGTCTCTCGGGAG